TCAAACATGAATAACTTCGCAGCTCTATAATAAACAGTGATCCAGTTAAAAAGGTAAACTAAATAAATATTCACTTTACTCACAGACAGTACAATTTAATATTAAGGTGTCTGTTCTCCACAAATTGATCTGTAGATTCAAATTAATCCTAAATCAAACATCAGTGTAACTTTACAAAGAAATTGACAATCTGATTTTATTTATTTTTTTTTATTTTTATTTTTTTTTATTGAATCACCTTGGGAAAGGTTACAAAGCTTTCAGGTTTAGGTCTCAGTCATGCAAATATCAAACACATTTCCCTTTACCAATACTTTTTTTTTTTACCATGAAGAACCCCAATAAAACCCCACCCCCCACCCCTCCCAGTCCCTGTGGGGCAGATGAATTCTAGTTAACACTCTATCTGCTTTGATTAGATTAATTGTTTCAATAAAAGATTCACCACTATTATTTAGAGTTTACCCCCCCCCCCAAATCAGACATGCTGAAAAAGCATTGTGACGTGATTTGCTTTCTACAGCTGGGTTCAAGAATTAAATGTTGGTTTTGGATTTCTGCTATTTTACTTATTGACCCTTGAAGTATTTATACTGAAAGTCAGATAGTTAAGAAATTGGTTTCTATGCTCTGGAGTCGTGGCCGTGCTGGAGAGCCGCTAGTGGGGGGCAACTGGTGGCCTCGGTAGGGCGTGAAGGGTGGACCGAAACGCCCCCTTCCCATGAGGTTTTAGTCGCCCCCACTCCCCCGGCTCATACCTGCTGTCCACAAGGCTCCCATGTGGCCGCCACCTTTCTTTCCAGAGGGAGGAGGGCGGAAGGGACCAACACCCTTTCCCCTCCGGGCAGACATGATGGCCTGGATTAACGCATAGTCCTTTCACTTTTCTGCTCCAAGCTGCTGGGTTCTGCATTAAGTCCTTGTGCTTCTGGGGCTGTGGCCATGCCGGAGAGCCGTTCGTGGGGGGCAACTGGTGACCTCAGTAGGGCGTGAAGGACGGACCGGAATGCCCCCCTTCCCATGAGGTTTTAGTCGCCCCCACACCCCTGGCTCATACCTGCTGTCCACAAGGCTCCCAGGCGGCCGCCATCCTTCTTTCCAGAGAAGAGAGGGCGAATGGGGCAACACCCTTTCCCCTCTGGCAGACTTGATGGCCTGGATTAACGCATAGTCCGTTCACTTTTCTGCTCCAAGCTGCTGGGTTCTGCATTAAGTCCTTGTGCTTCTGGGGCTGTGGCCGTGCTGGAGAGCCGCTCGTGGGGGGCAACTGGTGGCCTCGGTAGGGTGTGAAGGACGGACCGGAACGCCCCCCTTTCCATGAGGTTTTAGTCACCCCCACACCCCCGGCTCATGCCTGCTGTCCACAAGGCTCCCATGTGGCCGCCATCTTTCTTTCCAGAGGGAGGAGGGCGGAAGGGACCAACACCCTTTCCCCTCCGGGCAGACATGATGGCCTGGATTAACGCATAGTCCTTTCACTTTTCTGCTCCAAGCTGCTGGGTTCTGCATTAAGTCCTTGTGCTTCTGGGGCTGTGGCCGTGCTGGAGAGCCGCTCGTAGGGGGCAACTGGTGGCCTCGGTAGGGCGTGAAGGACGGACCGGAACGCCCCCCTTCCCATGAGGTTTTAGTCGCCCCCGCTCCCCCGGCTCATGCCTGCTGTCCACAAGGCTCCCATGTGGCCGCCATCTTTCTTTCCAGAGAGGAGAAGGCGGACAATCTGATTTTAAAATGGAAATGGAAATCCTTATAGTTTAGAATTTAAAAAATAATTTTTGGAAAATATATTCAGAGTGGAAAACTCACACCACCTAGAACTTACACAACCCAGTTTCATGACTTACTACTGTAATCAAGGCAGTATTTAGCACAAGGATAAATATGTCGGTGCAAGAGATTGGAAAGTCCAAAAATCAACCCATAAATGTTTGGTCACTTTTCAACAAAAGCACTTATTATACAGTTCAGTAACCATAATGAATATTTAACAGTAAAATCGAAATAAGTGGTTATCCATTTGGAAATAAGAAAACACATTTTTATCATTACCTGATATCACTTATGAAAATTAATTTGAAAGATATAACTTGTGACTATAAAATAAAAATATTATCATTATGAAATAGAATGAGGAAAATCTTGGCACACTTTAATTAGGCAGAGGTCTTACGTAGGAAACAAGGGACAATAATCTTTTAATAGGCAACTAGGTTGAACTGGACAGGAAATTCAATGGCTGGAGAGCATGCTTCCCTTGAAGGAGGCCTAAGTTTGATCCTGGACACCCTTTACAGTCCAATGAGCACCACCAGGTATAGCCCCCAAAACAAAACGAAAAAAAGAAAAATATAATTATTTTATTTTAAAATGTATTTTCTTAATTTTTTTTTTTGGTTCAGGGTCACACACACAGGGGTACGCATGGCTGAATCCTCAGGGTGGGAAGCTCGGGAGACCATATGTGGTACCTGGGATGAACCCTGGTCAGCTGTGTGTATGGCAAGTGCCTTTCCAAGGATTATATATTCATTTAAGGTGAACTTGATTGAAATACCCAGGAAATTAAAAATGCAAGTATTTGGGCAAAGATAACAAATAATCACATTATCTGTGTACATGTGTATATTTATGTGTTTGTATATATCTGGGGCTGGAGTGATAGCACAGTGGGTAGGGCATTTATTTGCCTTGCACACAGCCGACCCGGGTTTGATTCCGCCATCCCAGGCAAGCTACCGAGAGTATCCCGCCCACATGGCAGAGCCTGGCAAGCTACTGTGGCATATTCAATATGCCAAAAACAGTAACAAGTGTGACAATGGAGATGTGACTGGTGCCCACTTGAGCAAATTGATGAACAATGGGAGGACAGTGTTACAGTGCTACAGTATATATCTATACTATGTGTCTACATGTATCTACTCAAACATCTATGTATATATGTATGTATTCTCAATAGATAACGATCCATCAAAACTCCATGATACAATAAACCAGTTTTTTAAATGAGCAAAAAGATTTGAAAAGATATTTTGCAGAGAACATAAATAAATGGTCAGCACAAGATACATCACATCATTAGTCTGCAGGGCATTTTCTATTAAAACTTTTGTAGGATGCAACTACAACCCAGAAAAATGACTGGTAATTCAAAGGTAATTGTAAGTTTATATGAGCCTGTAAATAAATTTCAGCTTTCAAACATCGCTAAGTAGAAATTTGAAGTGGAGCCACTACTTCTGTAAATAATTTGGAAATTTCATATTTTGTTTTCGATTTTTTGGTGTGAAGATCACACCCAGTAAAAGTAAAAGAAGCCAGACCCTCTCTGTTCTAATTATATGAAACTCTGATATGGGCCCCAGTCAGGATAACTTATTGGGAAAAAACATGCTATATTTTGAGTTAATGGAAATATTCTCTATCTTTATTGATGTGGTAATTACAGGGCTATACACTTGTCAAATGCCTCTAAGTATACTTTGAAAGTGTGCTTTACTGTGTATAAATCATGCCTGAATATGGTTGAAAATTATAGTATTTACAAATTCTATTTATAGTTGATTTCCAAAGGAAGATACCTGAAGATAAAAGAACACCAAAGCACAATTTCAAAGTCCTGTTTGAAACTACATAAAAATATTTGTGCTAATTACTAGCATCTTACTTCAAATATTTTTACCGCTAATTTATTAGTACATAGAGTAGTGTAATGTTTAAGTTATGATTTAGGGGCCTAGAAAGCTAGTACAATGAATAAGGAGTAATCAGGTTAGATCCCTTGCACCACATATGGTCCCAGGAACACAGCCAGGAGTCATAGCCAGGAGATCTTTGAGCACAGCTGATGTGGCACAAGCTGCTAGCAACCCCCCCAAATTAAAATATAATAATTATTGGGTATAGAAACTTGATAAATCAAAGAATAGTATTACTTAAGTGTAAAGCAAAATAGAACAAAGAATTGCATTCAAAATACAAGTATGTAGCAAAGCTATCCGAGAGTCACATGATGTGTATTTTTAGAAAAACAGAAACCTTGGTGTAAGAAGATGTTAAAAACTGAATATTAATTTGTTAAGAAGAACACATAGCATTGGTGAATGTTATCATAAGTGACTGTAGTTTGCATTAAATGAATAAAATCCACGATTTTTCTTCAGACTTTTTTCTTGCAGAAGTTTTCAGCAAATATTTACCTTTTCCCACTTACTTTTGAGGACACATTATTCCTTATGCCATTTCTTTATGAAAAATAAAAATGAATTTCTTCTTAATTTTAATTTTTTATTTTAAAAGCAGAAACAAACAAAAAATACCTCATTTGTTCCCCCTGTTCCCAATTTTCAGAGTTATAGTAAATAAACAGAAATACAGTAAATAAACAGCTTCTCTTTTTTGTTTTGTTTTGTTTGGAGACACACCTGGCTGTGCTTAAGGCTTACTCCTGGCTCTGTGCTCAGGGATCACTCATGGTGGTTTTGGGGGACAGGTAGGGTGCCAGGGATCAAACCTAGGTTGGCCAGATGCAAAGCATACACCTTACCCATTGGGCTATTGTTCCAACCCCAGTCCTTCTCTTCTAACTTATTTAGCTATATTATGTCTTTAAAATGTTTTTGAAGAAATTTTTGTGTTATAATAGGAACAGTATTGTAATTTTTTTCTAAAAGTCAAAAGTCTAGGAAATTATAAGATTGCTTTTATTTTTTGTCATTAAAAATGTGTCAGGTACTCCAAAATAAATTTCATCATTTTTAGTTTCTTCCAAAGTAATAATATTTTTATACTACTTTATGATTTTTTTTTCCTTTGGATTTTCCCTTCAAAACTCACTTTAGTTACTCAGCTAAACTCTCTTTCAACCCAAGCACACCACTTAAAGTCTACAGGTGATTTTTTAAAGATTTGATAGGTATCGATGAGATCCCACATTTATTTTTCTTTGCACGCCTTTTTGCTGGAGAATCTAACTGTATTAGTCTTCTCTAACTTTCCTACAGATTTGTTATTGGGCGAGAAAAACCAGGACAAGTAAGTGAGGTTGCCCAATTGATAAGCCAGACACTGGAACAGGAAAGACGCCAGAGAGAACTACTTGAGCAGCACTATGCTCAGTATGATGCTGATGATGACGAGGTAAGGAGTACTTCTAAACCATCTTTTTCTGCATTCCTTTAGTACGTAGTTCTTTCTATCAGTGTTGCAGGCTCTTTGCAATTTGTCAGACGAGGATGTGTCTGCATCTAAACTAACTGAGTAGAAGAAACTTGATTTTGAAATTAAATTCTTTTTTACTACTCTATTCTAAAGTAATTGAAATACAGATTTTAAAATGCAAAAAATGTGAATTGTAACCATATTGATGAAATTATGTGATTTTAGTAGCTGTCTTTATTGTTAAGTTATGTAGTTTTTCTCTGCTTTATATGTTTTCCAGTTTCCACAACTTTTCCACAGTGAGTATATAATTTTTATATACTAGTAAAGTAAAGTAAAGGCCCTCCCGTTGATCATCGATTTGCTCGAGCGGGCCCAGTAACGTCTCCATTGGAGACTTTGTTGTTACTGTGTCTGGCATATCGAATACTCTCGGTAGCTTGCCGGGCTCTCCGAGAGGGGCGGAGGAATCGAACTCGGGTCGGCCATGTTGGCTGCGTGTAAGGTAGACGCCCTACCTGCTGTGCTATTTTTTTTTAAATCAGAAAATATTTGGAATGAAAAAATACACAGATACATACAGAAACTTGCATAGAAAAGTACAAAAATTTCTGGGCGTTGAAGGTTATTTTTATTTTCCAGAAAGAGAAAGTTCTTTGGATCTGTTCACTATGATTTGTGCTAACAGAGTGCAGAACAAAATTTTTCCACTAGTATATACTCCTAGAGTAGAAACATATTGGAATAATTTTGTGTCTGCTCTCTGTATAAGATCAACTAAATTAATAGAAGCTATTCCCCAAGTGAAAACGGCTTTCCAGAACCCTTATGTGTTTTAATATAATACAGATGCTACCTATTTCTAATGTAAATATTAAATGTGCTCTTATATGGCACCACAGACTTTATTATAAATTTATTTAAACATGTATATGTATAATATTGGCATGTTGAAATGTCCATCATTAACTCATATGTATTTCATATTCTATAAACACAATAAATAGTCATATAATACAAATATTCTTCCTTATACCACAATGTAAGAACAGTGGAACTTCATATATTTAACTCTGGATATATTATTTAAACAGAATGTGGGGTTTTTTTGTTTTCTAGTCAGAAAATAATGAAAATGAATAAACAAACACTCAAATATTTTTCATGCATTTTTTTCTGGGATGTTTTATGTCCAGTGTGTATTTTTATCTGCTTACAGTATAATGAAGAGGTATTCTTTATTTTAGTAGAAAATTAAGAATGGTGCATAGGTTACCTTTGATCAATGACTAATACATTAAGAAATGTATATGTAAATATAATAGTCTTCTAGTATTCTGTTAACTTGATTTAGTTTTTCATTTCAGATTTCACTTGAAATGGCAAATATTTACGTTTGTCTTGAATTTTGAAACCAAAAAATGAAATAAGTTTCATCACCTATTTGAAGTTTCATGTTTATTAGTTTTCAGTTTTCTTCTTTAGTATTTGGTGTTTTATCCGAAACAGATTTGCTTTGGCTACAAGTGTATTTTGAGATTAAGAAACCAATCATTCTTTTACAGGTTTAGTTTTTACCTGCTTCCTATCTTTAGGCAATTTTGTTATCTAGTTTGAGGGGAGAATAGGTGACATCAGGAGGACGGTGAGGAACATTCTGATCTTTGGGCCTCGGTCTTTGGCTTTAAGTATAGCAGTTGGGCTAAGATCTCTAAATTCATGCAAGAAGGCTTAAAGATCATCTCTAATATTTTAAAAAGCAATAATAAGAAAATTGGTTAATTGATCAGATTTATCTCCATGTTTTCACCTCAAGTGCTTTGAGGATAAAGTTTTCTTTCATAAATTTAGCTACTTTGAAAGAAATATTTGTAAAGGATGTTTGGAGGATCCTCCCAGGAGGGGAGATGCATGTCGAAAGTAGACTATGGACTGAACATGTTTGCCACTCAATGCCTCTTTTGCAGACCACAACACCCAAAAGGAGAGAGAGAACACAGGGGATTGCCCTGCCACAGAGACAGGGGGGATGGGGGGATGGGGGTGGGAGGGATATTATCCATGGTGGTGGAAAATGGGCACTGGTGGAGGGATGGGTATCTGATCATTGTATAATTGAAACCAAAGCACAAAAAATTGTAAATCTACAACTGTAAAAAAAAATAAAATAAAATAAAGGGGGAAAAAAAAGAATCAAAAAAAAAAAGAAAGAAATATTTGTTACTCAACATATACTTTGAGACCATCATGCTTTTGTTTATTTACCTTTGTTCTTTTTTAGTAAGAAAAGCAAAGTTGATCTTCTTTGATATTTTAAGGGGTAAATGTGGTCATTAAATATTCCATATCAGATACTTTGCAAGACTTTCCAGTATGCTGTTATGTAATCTTTATGCAGCTGGAAGAGGTTCATTTTCCTGGTTTTCTGGAACTGCAGCCATCAAAGCTTCATCTAGTGGTGTAGTAGTAGTAACTGGCAGGTTAAGATGGAAGTTGGGTTTTTCTGGCTTGAAAACTGGACTCTGTAGCACAATGCTCTGTGCTGTTTTGTAATGGAGTAGACTGATGGATGGGTCTATCTGTATTTAGGGACATAAACAATAACTGGGTAACATTAATGTTAAAAAAGAAGACTAATTTTGGATTGTGGAGCTTATTATAATGCTTAGGTTCTGTAATTCTTTTATCTATATTTTAATAATATAAAATTCAGTGAATATTGAAAATTAGGCAAATTCTTTATCTGTAAGTGTCCTCTAAGCTTAATGGCTGAGTATTCAGATAGTCATGAAAAAGAGTTTAGCTTTAGGTTAAACTTTTTCTTATGCCTGAAGTCATAGAAATAGTGCTTGCTGTTACTCTCAGTAAGCTTCATCTCATTGAAAAGATCAAGGAGATTTGTTTTTCATGCTCTTTTCTTACTTTTCTCCCTCTTTTGTGTATTATTTACTGTCTCACCAAGACATGCCCACGAAAAGCCAACTCTTAATATTTTGTACATATAAGAGTTAAAAATTGAACAGGCAATACAATTTATCTCATGTAAACACTTTGCTTGATTTAAATTTATGTTTTTGTCAGGCCATCAAGTGCTGTTGAATCTGTTTGAGTGTTACATAGCTATTTTTTTCTTTATGCATTCTGTATCTTATACTAAAAGAGTAAAACATTCAAGATATGTGAGGAAATGAGAAGAACTTATATGGATTATCTAAAGGGTAAATGGTCTCTGAATAATTATGCTACTTTTGTATGCAATGAACAACTTCCTACTTTATTTACATTTGTTAATTCTGGATATAGGTAATCAGTCTCTTGGTTTCTTTCTCCTCTTAACTGTTTATAGAATAAACTTGTTATTTCAAGGTTAGATTCATTTTTTATTTGACAGTCTCCCAAGTGGCATTTCCCGCTCAAGTCAGAAATACTTGTAATTAGGAACAGAGAACATAGGTTCAATCAAACCATACTCATTTCCAAATCCAACTCTTCGATCATCATTATCTACTAAAGGGTAAATAACTTCTCATTTTAGTCACATCATCTAAGAGATTGATTCTAATTCAAAAGCTGTCACACTGGCTGAGGGGAAATGATCTTTTAATTGCCTACATGAAAAACATTACAATATCAAAACTGTATCCCAAAATTGTTAAAGTACAGTGGTCTTCTCTGAGACCATGTTTGTGATAAGAACATTTATGACTTATAAGAATGTGATTAGATATACTTGTTTTTACACCTTAGGATATATTATGTCACTCTCTAATAGGATTTGCAATAGACAGTCCTCCAAACTTATTTAAATTTCTGCATTTTATATTTTTAAAAAATAATTTTACTTTAAGAATTTAAAATAAGCAGTAGTCATTTCAGTTTTAATTTTCATTCTTGTTTCTATTCACTCCCTATTAAACAATTTTATTTTTTAAAGTTTAAATAGCTCTGCCTGAAAGTTGAAGAATATAAAGGGAGGACCCTTAAAACATTAGGAATTAAATCTGAAGAGTTAAATAATTTTAAATGTGTATATGAATACCTGTGATTCATATGAATACCTGTGATGCATTTTTGTATTTAACAGATTAATTTATACTTATTTTCCTTTTTTTCTTTAACAACTCAAAAGGTAACCATGGAGGATTTCACTAAACTCCTCAGACAGTCAGCACTGTCCCACAAAGTTCTGGGGGTATGATAAATGTTTCAACTAGATTTTAATTTCAATAACAAATTTAACCTCCTGTGATATTCCACCATTATCAACATTTTACCTTTTAGTGTTGGGGGATGTGATTCTTATTTTGCATGACAACAGGTCATATAGCTATAATCAGGGTGTCTGTTTTTATTGTAGAGCTTTATCTAACTTGAAATTATGTGGGTTCAAGTTGGAATAAAATATAGCTGGTATACTACAACACTCTAAATAGAAAATGCATATGGTTTTCTATTTAATGAGCCAGTTCATATATTTCTTAAATTTATGATTATTTTACTTATTTGAATTTAATTTAAAACAATATTTCTTATATATTAGAGTCCTAGGTTATAGACAACATTTCAAAAATCTCTTTAAACAGTAGTCTATAACAAGGTTAATTATCAAGAAATTTTAGGCCCTTCTCTTAAAACATAATTTTATATGTTTTTATTATCTTCTTTCATTACTGAAAATTAATGTCATTACACCTATATCATAACAACATTAATTTATTTTTTAAGTATTAAATGTAATTTAGAACAGCTATCTACCTGGATATATAATTGTATTGCTTGTGGTAACATAATAATTAGAGGCAGAAATATAGAAGCTTTGGTTTGCATAACTGTTAAAAGGTTAACAAGAATACTGTTTTGTTTCAAAAAGCTTTCAAAAGCTTAAATTGGAATAATGTTGTTTGCTGTTACTGGCTGGAAATTGTGTGTTTCAACAAAAGATTCTAATTGTATGGGGTGGCCTTTTTTAATGGATGGTCTTTTAATAATGTGACTTTAATTATGTTTACTTTATAATGTTTATGATGTTAAGAAACTAAGAAAAGAATCATTCTCTAAGTTCTCAAAAGTGTACGTTACAGCAAGCATCAAAACTTTAGTGCTTTTTTTGTTATTATTTTTGTTATTTTTTAATCCTTTATCTTTAAACAGCTCTCTTTAGTGGGCAAAAAGTCTTTAATTTTTGTTGTCAACCATTTTAGACCACAGTGCCTGAATTGCAAGGAGTGCCTGGCAACTGCAATAATAATAACAACTATTTCCTTAAGGTTTGTTTTTTTGTTTTGTTTTGGCGTTTTGTTTTTGTTTTTCCCGCTGGAAAGCAATGCTTATCTGTATCTTCTTGCTTTATGTGTGAAATTAAATATTGTCTGTGTGCTATTAACTACCTGTAGGCTCAGTGAATCTTCTCAAGATCAATGTGTTTTGTAAGTGGAATAATGGTTTTGAAATTGTCATTTAAAAAAGGTATTTAATTCTAAAACATAGCATATATTTTAGGCAAAGCTCTGTATTTTTTACTCACTTGTTAATATTTAACCATGGATGATTTTAGCCTCTAACTCTATAAATATTTTTTGACTCGGGAGAAAGGGAAAAACATATCCAATAATAGGACTAAATGATATTTGTGTAATGCATTATACCTAGTGGTTGTTTTAAAATTCAATTCTTTCCTTAGAAAAGAATATTTTGAAATAAAATTGCCTTAAAATTTAATATATATTTATTTGTTATAGTAGTTTATATTTGCATGATTTACATGGCAAACAAACAAAATATCTTAAGAGGTATTTCAACTCAAATAAAAGAGTTCTATTTTAGCTGCCATTACTAGAGACAGAGAAACTTAACGATGAAATTCATCTATCTGGGTTTTTTTTTTGGTGGAGGGTATTTGGGGGCCATGCCTGGCAATGCTCAAGGGTTACCTCTGGTTTTGTATTCATTAATTACTCCTAGCAATGCTCAGAGACCATATTGGATGCTGGAGATTGAACCGGTTTGGCTCTCTCCAAGGCAAGTGCCTTACCTGCTGTATTATTGCTCTGGCCCCCAAATCACCTATCTTTGAAAGTGAGGTTGTCTAATGTTAATTAGAGGTGTATGAAAAATAGGAGAAATGGTTATTTTTATCAATGTGTTTACAGACTCTAATTTGATTGGAACTTTAAGTCTGTTGCATTTAATTATATACTTCAGTTGTTGTTCCATAATTATATAACAGTGATTTTTTTACTGAAACTCACACACACACACACACACACACACACACACACACACACAAACTTCAGTAAATAAGCGTACTTCTCTTTCAAAATATTTTTGAGACATTGAGCTGGGCTAGAGAGATAGTACAGTGGATAAGGTATTTCCCAGTATATGACAGACTTGAGTTTGATCCTTTGCACTGCATGTGCCCCCCCCCCCCAGAGAAGAACTACATGTACCTCTTTTTTTAAAAAAAATCATAAATAAAACAAGCAAGCTAAAAAACACTGAGTGTAGGAAGATAGATAGTGTTAAGGGAGAAGAGAGGTTAGAATAGTAATCTGCCTAATTAATCTCATCTTTTTGAAGCTTATTTTCTTAACTTTATCTTGCTTGTAATAATTCAATGCTTTGTATATAATTTGTTATTCCTAATTACAATATTTATAGTGATATCATTATAAGCCAGATACACATACCAAAAAATTTTAATTAGATTCTTCTGTGCCATTAAGTTCCTCTGATAATGTTGATTTGTGTTTCCTATAAATTGTGGTAGAATAATTTTGTATTACAGTGAGGAGCCATAGATTTTATCAGTGTTTAAAACGAGGTCGCATATCATGCTAAGTGAAATGAGTCAGAAAGAGAGAACAGACATAGAAAGACTGCACTCATCTGGGGAATATAAAGTAACAGAATGGGAGAACACCAAAGAATAGTTGATGAGTGGCAGGGGGTTTGCTCCACAGCTTGGAAGCTGGCAGAACACGCCGGGGGCGGGGGGGGGGGGGGGGGGAAGGCAGCTCAGATAGAGAAGGGAACACCAAGTAAAGGGTGTTCGGAGGATTTGCTCAGGATGCAAGATGTGTGCTGAAAGTAGACTAGGACCGAACACGATGGCCACTCAGTACTTCTATTGCAAATCATGACACCCTAAAGGAAAGATAGAGCAAAAGGAAATGCCCTGCCACAGAGATGGTGTGGGATTGGGGGGAATGGGTTTGCGGGGTTTGAGGGCTACTGGGATCATTGTGGTAGAGAATTGGCAGTGGTGGAGGGATGGTTACTCGATCATTGTATAACTGAAACTCAAGTACAAAAGTTTGTAAGTATGCAACTGTACATCATGGTGTTTCGCTAATAAAAAAATAAATAAAATAAAAATAAATCAATAAATAAAATGAGGTTTCAAATCAACAAAAATAAACACAAACTACCATATTTTTCCAACTTTCAGGCACCTAAAGTTGGAGATGATTTTTTTACCAGAAAGTTATAAAAAGCACAAAATGAAAATTTGGATGGGCCTCGATAGTGTGGGATACCACTCTACTTCTCAGTCAATCATAATGATCCTATGATTTTAATATGTCTTTCTTTTTCCAGTTTTCTTTAATCTTTTTTTAATTCCTGAAACACCATGAGGTACAGTAGACTTACAAATTTTTGTGCTTGGGTTTCAGTTATACAATGATCGAGTACCCATCCCTCCACCAGTGGCCATTCTTCACCACCACTGATCCCACTATCCATCCCATCCCCCATCACGCCCATCACATCCCGCCTCTGTGGCAGGGCATTCCCTTTTGTTCTCTCTCTCCTTTTGTGTGCTGTGGTTTGCAAAAGAGGCATTGAGTGGCAATCATGTTTGGTATATAGTCTACTTTCAGCATGCATCTCCCACCCTGGTAGATCCTCCCAACATCCTTTATTTGGTGCTCCCTTCTCTATCTGAGGCTAGCACGTGCGGCTGGCCTCCAAGCCATGGAGTGAACCTCTTGGTACTTAGCTCGGCTATTCTTGGGTGTTAGTCTCCTATTTTGTTACTATATGTTTCCCACATGAATACAATCTTTCTATATCTGTCCCTCTCTTTCTGACTCATTTCACTTGGCATGATACTTTCTAGTAGTACCACTTGTATGTAAATTTCATGACAATATCTTTTCTAATAGGTACATAGAGAGCCCAGCAAGCTACCAAGAGTATCTTGCCTGCACAGCAAAGCCTGTCAAGATACCCGTGACGTATTCGATATGCCAAACACAGTAACAAGTGTCACAATGGATATGTTACTGGGCCTGCTCAAGTAAATTGATGAACAATGGGAGGACAGTGACAGTGACATTGACAGTGACATAGTACGCCGTTGTGTAGATGTACCAAAGCTTCTTTAACCAGTCATCTGTTCTCGGGCACTCAGGTTTTTTCCAGATTCTAGCTATTGTAAACAGTGCTGCAATGAACAAAAAAGTGAACATGTCACATCGATTGTACTTTTTTGCCTCTCTGGGATGTATTCCCAGGAGTGGTATTGCTGGGTTAAATGGGAGCTCATTTCTAATTTTTTGAGAATCATCCATACTGTTTTCCAAAAGGACTGAACCAGTCGGCATTCCCACCAGCAGTGAAGGAGGGTCCTTTTCTCGCCACATCTGCACCAACACCGGTTGCTTCTGTTCTTTTGGATGTGGGCCAGTCTCTGTGGTGTGAGATGATATCTCATTGTTGTTTTGATCTGCTGATGATTAATGATGTAGAGCATTTTCTCATGTGCCTTTTTGCCATTCGGATTTCTTATTTGAGAAAGTTTTTGTACATTTCGTTGCCCCATTTTTTGATGGGGTTGGATGTTTTCTTCTTGTGGAGTTCAACCACGACTTTGTATATCCTTGATATCAACCCCTTGTGGGATAGTCCGAATATCTTTTCATATTCTGTGGATTGTCTTTGTATTCTGGTCACTGTATATTATGAGGTGTAGAAGCTTCTTAGTATAAGATAGTCCCATTTGTCTATCTCTGTTTTCACTTGCTTTGCCAGTGGTGTGTTGTCTTTAAAGATACTGTTAGCTTCAATGTCATGGAAGGTTTTGCCAACTTGGTCTTCAATGTGCCTTATGCATTCCGGTCTGATGTTGAGGTTTTTAATCCATTTTTATCTTACTTTTGTATATGGTGTTAGGTAGAGATCTGAGCCGATTTTTTTTTTTTGCATGTAGCTGTTCCAGTTTTGCCAGGACAATTTTTTAAAGAGGCTTTCCTTGTTCCATTTCACATTTCTTGCTGCCTTATCAAAGATTAGATGATAATATGTTTGGGTGGAGATGTCAGTATATTCAACCCTGTTTCATTGGTCTGCAGCTCTGCATTTGTTCCAGTACCATGCTGTTTAATATTACTGCTTTGTAGTAGAGTTTGAAGGTAAGGAGGTTAATTCCTCCCATTTTCTTTTTCCCAAGAATTGCTTCAGCTATTCGTGGGGACTTATTGTTTCATATGAATTTCAGGAGAGTTTGCTCCATTTCTTTGAAGAATGTCATGGGTATCATAATAGGGATCGCATTGAATTTGTACAATGCTTTGGGAAGTATTGCCATTTTGACAATGTTAATTCTCCCGATCCATGAGCAGAGGATATCTTTCCATTTTCTCATGTCCTCTTTTATTTCCTGAAGTAGCATTTTGTAGTTTTCTTTGTACAGGTCCTTTACTTCCTTAGTTAAGCTTATTTCTATGTACTTGATTTTCTGGGGAACATTTGTGAACGGGATTGTTTTTTTTCATGTTACTTTCTTTTTTCTCACTATTTGCGTATAGGAAAGCCATGGACTTTTGGGTATTGACTTTATAGCCTGAAACTTAACTATACAAGTCTGTTGTTTCTAGGAATTTCTTGGTAGAGGTTTTAGGGTTCTCTAAGTATAGTACCATATCATCTGTGAATAGTTAGAACTTGATTTCTTCCTTTCCTACCTGGATGCCCTTAATATCTTTTTCTTGCCTAACTGCTATTGCAAGTACTTCCAGTACTATATTGAATAGCAGTGGAGTGAGTGGGCATCCTTGTCTTGTCCCTGATCTTAGAGGGTAGGCTCTCCGTATTTTCCCCATTGAGGATGATGCTAGCTGTAGGCTTTTGGTAGATGGCTTTAACCATATTGAGGAAAGTCCCCTCTATACCCATTTTGGTGATGGTTTTCATCATAAACAGGTTCTGGGTCTTGTCAAATGCTTTCTCTGCATCTATTGATATAATTCTATGGTTTGTATCC